GCCCGGGCAGGGACTGTGAACAGAAGCCTCCCACCAACAACAATGTCTGTGAGGACGAGACAGAAGCCAGGCCAACATCCAGTTCTGCTGTCTGCACTCTGGCCAATGCTTAATAAACATGAGGGACACTACACAACAGAAGCATGTCACCTTGAATGACACCTGGGATCAGAGCATGTTCCCTGTAGATCGGGGCCTGGTGTCAGCATGGGTGGAGGGCAGCGAGTCCCCACAGCTGTCCAGCAAAGAGTCAGGAGGGAGGACTTGCCCTCCTAACCATCAGGTTTAGGATCTCCCTTCATTCCAAGAAAGCAGACAACCTTCCCCACCTTGTGAGTGACATCTCTTCTCCCTGGAGGACCTGTGTCCTTCCTCTTCTCACAGAGACCTAACCTGGCACAACTCTGGACTCCCGCTAAACCCCAGATGCCTGAGAATCAAGTCTCCTGAGGTGGTCACCAGCCATGGCTCAGCCCATGGCTCAGCCCCAGCAGCCACATCCAGGCAGGGGTGGAGCCTGGTCTTTCACCTGAGACTGTGTGGAGAGCACAGACAGACAAGGTCCCCAGGCCATTAATCCACTGCCCTGGGGGACTCAGGAGACTCCAGGGGAAGGTCATGTCTCAGGGAAGAACAGAGGAGAGAAAATGCTTCTGGAAGCTCCTTGTCCACCAGAGGTCAGCCAAGGGGTTTTCTTTCATCGAGGCAAATAATGGTAGTTGCCATTTATTTGGGAGGCCCCTCTCTACTAGGCTTGGGATCAAGTATTCAAGGATGTTTTGAGGTTAATTCACAGACAACATGGTAATCCAGAGTTTATTTACCATTTACTCAATTTTTATTTGGGGGGAAAAGGAGGCACCGAGTGATAGTCATTGAGTCAGGCTCACACAGACCATGAGCAGCAGATCAGACACAGCAAGGTCCTTGCACAGCCACAGCTCCGCCCTCTCCTCCACCAGGAGGGTCTTAGGTGTCTGTGAACCCTGAAACCAGGTCTTTTCTTCTTAGCAGTCTCCATCTCAAGGTAGATTTTTCTGGTCTGGGTAGTGAAAGCTAGTTGGGATTGACTGTTTTATCTCAAGAAGGAAATTACCTTCATGAACAATCAGAGCCAGTGCTGGGAACGCCCAGCAGAGCCCTCAGGTGTCTGATCCAGACCTCCTTGCACTGTACTTGAAACCACTTATTTGTTTCCTGATGTGTGAATGTCACTGCCACTGGATAGAAAGGAAAGAACTTTGCCTTCTCACTCCTCACTCTACACTTGCAACCAACTGAGGAACCAGCACTCAACTGCTCCTTCAAAAAGGAGGGAAATATTATGGTGAATGAATGAATGAATGATACATAACCTCTGTACAGACTGGCACCTGGATGCAGAGTGCTAGGAGGTTTGGGCCACAACTATTCCCTGTCCTCAGGGGCTGAGAGACAAGTTCATCTCTCTGAACCCATAACCCCAGGAGCCAAGTCCCATGGTAACTATGGGGCTGTTCCACTGTGGGAGGGTTTTCCAGGCTGCACTGGTCCTGCATGGGGCAGATGTCCCTGGGGAGCTTGAAATCACCTGTAACCCCCACTACTTCTCCATTAGAAATTCTAAAGCTTTGTCTTTTATTAATGAAGTAACTGTAACTGTTACATTCCCTGACAGGAGGCACTTTGAACCTGTGCTAAAGTTATAGGTAATTTAATAGAAAGACTACTCTACTCATGTAATCTCAAGTTTGCTTATGAGGAAGAGAGAGAGAGAGGAGAGAGAGAGAGAGAGAGAGAGAGAGAGAGAGAGAGAGAGAGAGAGAGAGAGAGAGAGAAGGAGAGAGAGAGAAGGGGGAGATTAAGCAAGAGAAGGGAAAAAGCAGATATGGCCATGAAAGCAGGGAAGGAAGGCATGTGATGTAAGGACATGAGCCAGGAATGAGTAAAAGCTCCAGAAACTTGAAAAGGCAAAAAAAAGAGGGTCTCCCAGAGAGTCTGGGAGGGGAACAGTGTCCTACACACACACAAGATTCCAGCACAGTGACATGCATTTCCAGCTTCTGGTCTCCTGGACTGTTAGAGATGGTGTAAACAGGCTGGATGTCTTATCCACTCAGATATACTTTGGAGACACCCAGGTGACCATCTGCTCCCTCCCTAATCCCTTGTCTGAAAGATCCTGCACAGCCTCCATAGGTTGGCACATCAGGACAAGGAAAACTTTAAAGTCTCCTCACTGATATTGGTAGAAACACCGACCAAATTACATGTGTGATAGATGACTGATGACATGCTAGAGAGCTGGAAGGACCCTAACCTCCAATATTGTTGCAATTCCACATGAATTTTCACCTCACATGTAAGGGAGCAGATGCACAAATCTTTCAAAGATCTTCTGTTATAGAATCTTGATGGTGTATGAGGTGTCAAAACTCCTTAAAAAGGCAATGGAATGGAGCCCGAATGCTACTAGACAAACAGTTGCCAACCCGGACAAGCGCCCTCCACCCCAATACCTTCAATGCCCTGTGATCACCCAGCTCACTCCAGGGAAGCACACACAACACTGCAAATATTTCTGTCCTCATGTATTGGGTTTTTTTTGTTTTGTTTTTTTGGTGTTTTTTTTTTTTTTTTTTTTGTATTCTTCACAAACTCCACTTGCCTGTCCCAATGTGAATCCACACACAGGATACAGGGAAATGGGAAGTAAAATCTTTCCTCTGGGTTCTGTTGGGCCCTGTGACCTTGGGTTGGCCTCTGAGCATAGAGCAGAAATGTAGAGAGACCTGGGGGTCAGATGGCCTTTAGAAACCAGGGGCTGCCATGGTTGGCAGAAAGGGGTGAGGTGCTGGACAGAGTAGGGAGCAGAACTATAACCATTAGGGAAGCAGAAAGGGTAGAAAGGTATGGGGTGTTAGGGTTATGGTAAGACTGTCCATTGTAGTCAGGGCAGCCGGCAGGAGGGTGAGCACAGCCCAGCTGGCCACTTCAGAGGTGTGGGCCATGCAGGGGCTGCACAGAGTTCCACTGGTCTCCAACCAGAGCCCAGGGATGTCTGGGTGCTGGGTCCTGCATCAGAAGGTGGGCTGAGGCTTGTGCCATCTCCAGGCTTCCTATCCGCAGGTCCTAAAGCACCCCTCTGCACTCTGATCCTGATACCCTGGTTAGGGAACACTAGGGATTCTCACCCGTGGCCACGATGGCTAAGGGGGAATTTCTGACACCAAGTGCACCAAAAGCTAGAAAGATGAAAGCATAGGGCCCAAGCACACAGGGCCAATAGCTGGCAAGATAATCAGATAGGAAATAAAGACCTTCCGGCCCTATTCCCATAGGAACTCCAGGTTTGAGCAGGGAGAAGGGATGCTCTTTGAAAGGTCAGTCCATCATGCTCCCAGGCGTGGAACCTAAATAAGCCTCTTTCCTTTTGCACCAGCACCTGTCTCACTGGTTTGGCTTTTGTGGAAGCAGCTACCTGATCCTGTGTTTTGGTCACATTAGTCTTGGTTGAGGATGAAGAGAATGTAGGAGGACTAGGGAGGGGTCAGGTCTTCAGGCACAGGCTGAGGACTCCAGCCTGCAGAGGGGTGGGAAAGGCGGGTGGGCTGGTGTTGGGAGAGGCATATGGGTTATAGTCCAGGGATCACAATGTCTAGAGTGAGGGCCAGGGTTGTCAGTGTCCAGCTTTGGTCAGGTAACATTAGCGCTACATGTTTCCCAAAGTGGGTCTGGATCCGGCATTTTTAATTTTCCCTCCAAGCTCCATAGAAACACAAAATGTCAACTTGCCAGTGCCCCAAGGCCTCTGATCCTGAGACTGCAATTGGGAAGAAGTGCCCACAAAGGAGGCATCAAGTGGGTTTGGGGGTTCCTGGTGGAAGAGGATAGAGTGGCATAGTGTCTTTTCAGCTTGCTGAGCCCAAGGGGTTGAGGAAAGAGGTGAGCCTTGGGGACCCAGGACCTTAGAAGTCTGTGGTAAATGTGGAGCTGAGGCCTCTCCAGATGTAAGAGCTATCTATAAGGGTTTCTTTCTTCTTACCTAAAGGATCTCTGCAGTGAAATGTGCTCTTGTCCATTAAGCATTCCCATCATTGCACTGTTTTCCCAAAAGAGCTGGTGGGGTACTACAGCAACTGATTCAAAAGCTGTGTATTCAAAGGAACCTGCGCAGATCAGTCCAGTTGCGAAGACTTTTCCCCACCAGGAGCATGAAGCTCATGGTCCTTCCAGCCACCTGACGAGGTGCTGACAATACCTGGAGAAGGGGAGGACCTGAGCCTTTTGGGTCCCAGTTACCAAAAATATGACATCAGGAAGCCTTTGGGAGGTCTCCCTGTGTTCCATTCATTCTATTGTTTTACCCTCTAGACCAGTGGTTTTCAACCTTCCTAATGCAATTCCTCATGTTGTGGTGACCCCCAACCATAAAATTATTTTCGTTGCTACTTCATAACTATAATTTTGCTACTGTTATGAATTGTAATGTAAATATCTGATATGCAGGATGTATTTAGGCGACCCCTGTGAAAGGGCCCTTCGACCCCCAAAGGGGTCGCGACCCACAGGTTGAGAACAGCTGCTCTAGACTTTCATGTCTTCTCTGGTCCATTTCCATATCCCTCACTTAGATGAGAGATTGCCCCTCAAACCACCCACAGTGTGGACTCGGCCTAGAGATTCTCCATTTAGGCAGGTGGTCAGCAAAGTCACTCAGGACTCTTAACTCCTCAATTTTAGCCTTTGGACCTGCTTTTCCTAAGTTCTCTAAACCCAATGCAGCCTCAAGCTCCTTAGCAGGCAGCCCCATTACTCATGAAGCTCTTCTTGTCTCCCAGTCTCCGCTTTGCCCCATGCGCCCATCCCAGTTTCAGACAGACCTCAACACAGACACAGGCCTTACACTGTATTCTGTTTACCAAGACTTTATTTTATTCAATTTCAAAACTGGTTAGTCAGGCAATCAGATTCAGTAAAATTATGGAGGCAAAAGGCTGATAAAAGTTCCTGCAAAAATATTTTCAATAAGATATATTTTTATTTTGTGATTGTAAATCAATAAATTGGTTTAGTTGTGATTCATCCAGGAAGGCAAGTGGTTGCTCACTCATAATTGATCATTGTTTTCCATGATCACTTATTATTTTTTCTTAAGCCATATTGGTGCAGATTGGTTCATAAAGATTTTTCTTCCTAAAGAAATAAGTGATATTTTTTCATATGTTTAACAAACTGGGTTTCAGCAACAGCAGCAATCTTTCTCATTACAAATTTAAGAATAGTCTTAACTGCAAACATAGGTATTTGTTTAATGATCTTCATTAACTTGCTATTTTGATATGTTATTAATTTCTCTGGTAAAAATAGCATCATGGTATTCATTACAAATAGACTAGATATATCAACTCGATATTTCATGAGCAGGCCTTGAATGAATGAAATTATCATACCTTTGGAAAATATGATGAGTAGGTACTTCTGTCTCAGCTGTGACTTCAAACCTGGTGCCACTTGTTCTGTGCTGGGTCTTAATTTATTGAGGTGACTGAAAACAGAGGTCAATGTCATGAGCATAAAAGCAATTGGGTTCTCAGTTCCCCTGGACAGGAGTGGCACTACTCACCCAGCTGAGACACAGCAGGACTGCCAGATTTGGGGAAGGTTGTGATGAACAAAAACAGATCCAGAGACAGAGAAGCACATCGATCAGATGGTCAAATCTCAGAGGGAAGGTAGGGAAGGGTGGGGTAAGGGGGAGAGATCAACCAAAGGACTTATATGCAAGCATATAGGCCTTACCAATGGACACAGACAACAGGGAAGTGAGGGCATGAGTGGGGGGAGGGGGTAACGTGGGGATAAGGACATATATGTAATAACTTAATCAATAAATTAAAAAAAAAAGATAAATGCAAGGGGCAGGGCTAAGCTTGAGCTGTGATTGTGTGATTTCCCAGGAAGGGCTCTGGAAGCAAAGGGTTTAACATTGTCTAATCTGACAGACAAACCCCAGTGTGCTTGGAGGGAAATTATCCACGTGGTGTGAGAGTTAGATAAGGAGGTAGTTGCACCTCAATAAAGTTGAACATGTAATAACATGTGATCCTTCTAATTATCTATATATATATAATAGAGAAATAGGCTAATTAACCAGGATGCCATAATGCGTGGGCCAGACAGGAGGAGGTTGCAGGTGCACCATGGGATGGTAGGGGCCTCCACACACCTGCACTGGGGGAGGGCCTGATCAGCAGCGGCTGCAGCTGCTTCAAGGGCCAGAGAGGGAGGCAGGGCCAGACCAAGGGTGGATGGTGCCGTGCGATTTCGAATGGCGCTCTGAGCTCCTAGTAAAACATATAAATGTTAATATAAATGTTAATTTTAGACAGTTGAGACTGTCTAAAATTATAAAGATTTTTTTAAGATAAGAAGCTAGTTAGCTGGCATACGAGAGACCTACTCCCAAGTAACTTAATCACTATCTGTAGAAATTGGTGGGCCAATTATGTGAAAATATTTAAAATATAACTCAGAGCCAGATCACTATTTTGTTTTAAATTTTCAAATCAAATGGCCATATTATAATAAATATAAAGTTTTTCTTAAAATTAACAGACAAAAATTATTATATTTCACATATATATCAAAATATAACTATCCATCCATGGGACAATATTGAGAGACTTTTACACACTTAAACTAAAGAAGTACATACGATTTTTATAAATATTAAACTAACAAAGCCCTAGCTGGTTTAGCTCAACAGATAGAGGATCGACTTGCAGATAGAAAGGTTCCAGGTTCGAGTCTGATCAAGTGTATGTACCTCAGTTTCAGGAGCCTCCCTGGCCCCGACCTTGGTCAGGGTCGGTGCAAGCGGCTACCAATTGATGTTTCTCTCACATCGATATTTCTCTCTGTCTTTCCCTCTCTCTTTCACTCTCTCTAAGAAATCAATGGAAAAATATTCATGGCTGAAACTTTAAAAAATACATATATATATTAACTTAATAGAAACAAGTAAGTATGCACTAAAATATATATTTGAACAACTGCATATATATATATTCCAAAAATATATTTGAATAACACATCAAATGAAATAGATAAAAATAAATCAAGCCCAATGAAAAAAAAATGTTTAATAGTGATTAATAAGACAAATGGCAAAGATAAAGTAAAAGATAGAAGATAAAGGAATACAACAAAACTAAACATAAAAATTAAGTATGCACATTTTTTTTAAAAAAGCTTTGTCTACATGTTTTTCCATTGTGCAATGAAGTAAAGTTTGACAATTTTTCTGTGCAGTGGTTACATATTTTTTAATTACATTTAAGGAAACAAATTTAAAAATTTTATGGCCAAAAAAGGTAAGTTTATATTTAAAAAAAAAAAAGAAAGAAAACTTTTGATAAAGAGCAATGAAAGGAACAAGAAAGAGAAGCAAAGATAAAATATGAGAAAACACAATTTAAAATATTAAAATATGGCAAATGAAAATGTGTAATAAAAATTCTTGATGAAGATGGGTAAGACAAACAATAAAGAAAAGCATAAGGTAATATATAAAGAAAAGCAAACAAACAAATCTATATCCTATAAATAAAAGAGAAATATGCAAATTTACCATCCCTCTGCTATGCCCAAGCCACACCCACAAGCCATGCCCACAAGCCAATGAGGAGTGAGTATGCAAATTAACCTGACAAAGATGGCAGGTAATTTGCATGCACAGAGCAGAGTGGGAAAGCCAGCAGTTTGAGGGACGTGGCTCCCTTGGTCGAGGAAAACCCAGAGTATGAGGAGCACCAGGAATTCTGGGAATAGTAGCTTTGGTGGCAGCCCCAGGACTAGAAGCAGAAGACCAGAGCACGGGGAGCACCAGGAATGCTGGGAATCATAGTTCTGGTGGCAGATCGAGACACTAGAGCAAAGTGAGCCTGGAGCAAGTTACTGTTGCAGTTGAGGATGGAGGGAAAGTAAAGGTGAGAGACATAAGTAAAATCAGAGTGTCTAGGAAAAATTAAAGGGAAGATATCCTAAAACTTCCAGGAAATCTCTACCAATGGAGCAAAGAAAAAAAAAGCCTCTATTATTCTGTGAGCAACAAACCAAACTGGGTTAGGGGTCTCAGACAATTCGCTCATGTGATTGCAAAGACAGACAGAAACTCCCGGATTGGAGAGGGCTCACCTGAGGGCTCCCAGATTGGAGAGGGTGCAGGTCGGGCTGAGGAACTCCTCCCCATCCCCCTCCTCAGTGCATGAATCTTTGTGCACTGGGCCCCTAGTATATATATAAAAACATAAGCAACCAAATAACTGAACGACGGGTTGCGATGATGCGCACTGACCACCAGGACGCAGATGCTGAACACAAGAGCTGCCCCCTGGTGGTCAGTGTGCTCCCACAGTGGGAGCACTACTCTGCTGACCGACCCATTCCAGTGGCCCACCAGCCCCGCAGCAGCCACTCACTCTCTCAGTAGTCCTACAGGTCCAATCTCTGGAGAACAGGCCAGGCACCGATGGACCAGCACTGCTGGCATGATCCCGACAGCACTGCTGGCTTCCTAGAAGTCTGCCTCAGTCATCGTGGCCACTTCCCCTCCGTAGACACTCCGCTCCACAATGCAGAAACAATATAAAAGTGGCCAGCTGCTAGGTAGCTCCCAACAACCAGCACCAATGTCAGTGGGATGGCTCTGGATCCAGGGCCGGCAAGGGCATCCCACCACCCACCAGGAGGGTCAGTCATGTCCTGGCCGAATCCCACCCCCTGGGAACCCCACCCATGCATGAATTCATGCACCGGGCCACTAGTAAATAAATAAATATACATTACCTCAAATGTAAAAACCAAAAGGAACATTCTTATACAGGTCAATGATAAGACAACAAACAAAACAAAGCACAAGCTTTAGCTGGTTTGGCTCAGTGAATAGAGTGTCAGCCTGTGGACCAAAGGGTCCCAGGTTTGATTCTGGTCAAGGGTATATACTTGGTTGTAGGCTCCTCCCCAGCCCAGGTCCTGGTCAGGGCTCCTACAGGAGGTAACCAATTGATGTGCTTCTCTCACATTGATGTTTCTGTCTGTCTTTCCCTCTCTCTTCACTCTCGCTAAGAAAACAATAGAAAAATATCCTCGGGCAAGGATTAACAACAACAACAACAAAAGCACAAGATAAAACACTAAAAAGAACATATGACCAATGAAAAATGATAAAACATAAGACATCCAATACAATAGAGGTAATATGCAAATTGACCATCACGCCCTCATGGCAGCCCTCATGTGGTGAAAGATGGCCACCCCCATGTGGCCACAAGATGGCTGGCAGGGGAGAGCAGTTGTGGGCGATCAGGCCAGCAGGGGAGGGCAGTTATGAGCAACCAGGCTGCAGGGGAGTGCAGTTGAGGGCAACCAGGCCTGTAGGGGAGGGCAGTTATGGGGACCAGGCCTGCAGGGGAGGGCAGTTGGGGGTGACTGGGCCAGCAGGGGAGGGAAGTTAGGGGTGACTGGGCTAGCAGGGGAGCTGTTAGGCATCAATCAGGCTGGCAGGGGAGTGGTTAGGGGGTGATCAGGCTGGCAGGCAGAAGCAGTTAGGGGCAAGCAGGCAAGTGGTTGGGAGCCAGCAATCCTGATAGTGAGAGGGATGCCCTGTGGGATTGGGCCTAAACTGACAGTAGTCGGACATCCCCTGAGGAGTTCCAGATTGGAGAGGGTGCAGGCTGAGCTGAAGGACATCCCCAGTGCACGAATTTCATGCACCAGGGCTCTAGTCTATACTAATAAAAGGGTAATATGCTAATTAGACTGGATTGACTGGACATCTTCCGGATGTCTGACTTCCTTCTGGACAAAGCCACAGTGACAGGGGCTGAAGCAGAGGCAGTTAGGGGCAATCAGGCTGGCAGGGGAGCAAGCAGTTAGGGCGATCAGGCTGGTGCAAGGGAGCAAGCAGTTAGGGGAGAGATCAGGCCAGTGCAGGGGAGCAAGAAGTTAGGGGGCAATAAGTCCAGCAGGTAGGACAGTTGGGGGCAATCAGGCTGGCAGAGGAGGGCAGTTGGGGGCAATCAGTTGGGCAGGGGAGGGCTCTTGGGAGTTATCAGGCCATCAGGGGAGTGATTAGGGGGAGATTAGGCAGGCAGGCAGAGGCATTTAGGGGTGATCAGGCATTCAGGCAGGTGAGAGGTTAGGAGCCAGGGGTCCCAGATTATGACAGGGATCAGGCCTAAACTGGCAGTCAGACATGCCCCAAGGGGTCCCAGATTGGAGAGGGTGCAGGCCAGGCTGAGGGACACCTCCCTCCCATGCACAAATTTTGTGCACTGGGCCTCTAGTAAAAATATAATTGACCACATGAAAAAAAGCAAAATTAAAGTTTTTTATAACGATGAGTAACAATAACTAAAGGAGAAAACATCCATTAAAATATAAAGGAACACAATATATCTATTTCTTCTTGCACCAACTTTTGTATATTTTCCAGAAACATACCAATTTGATCTAGGCTGAGCATATATGGAAGTAGTACTGTCTTCTGTTGTTGTATTAACTTCCCCTGAATCTAACTTTGTTCCGTCCTCTTATATGCATTTTGTTTGTCTGCCACTTCTTTCTTTTTTCTTGTTCCACATTGCTAGAGGTCTGGCAATGTTATTCAGGTATTCAATATGTTATTATTATATGTTTTGTTCTTATCTATTTTTCTCTTTTAACCTTATTACTAAAGCAGTTGCTATATTTATTTTTATCTAGGTTTTTGTTTTTAGTTTCAAATCTGTCTCTTTAGTCAGGCAATCACATTTTAAAAATTATGGTGGCAAAAGGCTAATAAAACATCTCACAGAAATATTTTTAATAAGACATATTTTATTTTTATTATAAATCAATAGAGTGGGGCCTTGACTTATGAGTTTAATTTGTTCCGTGACGGAGCTCGTAACTCAAATTACTCGTATGTCAAATCAATTTTCACGTTCGCTGCGCCAACTAGCGGTGGGGTATCTGAATCAATAGAGTGGGGCCTTGACTTATGAGTTTAATTCGTTCTGTGACGGAGCTCGTAACTCAAATTACTCGTATGTCAAATCAATTTTCACGTTCGCTGCGCCAACTAGCGGTGGGGTATCTGAATCAATAGAGTGGGGCCTTGACTTATGAGTTTAATTCGTTCCGTGATGGAGCTCGTAACTCAAATTACTCGTATGTCAAATCAATTTTCAAGTTCGCTGCGCCAACTAGCGGTGGGGTAACCTGAATTTTAGCTCACAACTCAAAGCAAAAAATTGTCCAAGAGACTACTCGTATCTCGAAAAACTCGTTAGTCGGGACACTCGTAAGTCAAGGCCCCACTGTAAATTAGTTTAGTTTTGATTCATGTTGGAAGGTAAGATGGTGTGCACTCAGAATGATAATCATTTACCATGTGCACTTATCAACTTTTTTGTGAAAAAGAAGACATTTGTGCAGATTGGTTAGTAATAAATCAGTTTGGTTGTGATTCATCCACGAAGACAATACATTGTTCATTCAGAAGTGACAACTAACAGTGACACTGATGGACAGTGATGGATAGTGACACTGATCACCTATTATTTTTTCTGAAACCACATGAGTGCAGATTGGTTCATGAAGATTCTTCTTCTTAAAGAATGAAGTGATATTTTTCTTAAGTTTATCAAATTGGGCTTCAGTAACAGCAACAATCTTCCTCTTTACAAACGTAAGAATAGTCTCAATTGCCAATTTACGTAGTTGTTTTAAGACTCATTAACATATTGTCTCCATACGTTATTACTTTCTCGAGTAAAAATAGCATCATCTCCTCCATTACAAATGTACTAGGTATGTTATCTAGATGTTTCACGAGCATAGCTTTAATTAACGAAATTATTGTACCTTTGGAAAACATGATGAATTCGTACTTCAGTCTCAGCTGTGACTTCAAACCTGATGACACTTGTTCTGTGCCTGGGTGTTGAATTATGGAGATGACTGAAAAAAGACAGACAAATGCCATGAGCATAAAACCAATTAGATACTCACTTTCCCTGGACAGGAGCTGCACTGCTCACCGACCTGGTACAAAGAAGGACTGCCAGATTTCAGTGAAGTTGCTCAAAGATAAATGCAAGGGGCAGGGCTAATTCTGAGCTGTTATGACTTGATTTCCCAGTAAGGGCTCTGGAAGCAAAGGGTTTAACATTGTGTAATCTCACAGACAAACCCTAATGACTATGGAGGGGAAATACCTGCTTGGTGAGGGAGTTACATAAGAAGGTGGATATACTTCAATGAAGTTGAACACGTAATAACATGTGGTTTTGGTAATTATAAAATATATAGATGTTAATTTTAGACAGTTGAGACTATGAACTATGATAATGATTTTTTTAAGATAAGGAGCTAGTTAGCTGGCATATGAGTGACCCACTGCAAAGTAAATTATTCACTGTCTGTAGGAATTGACCGGCCAATCATGTGAAAACATTTAAAATATAACTGAGTCAGACCATTACTTTGTTTTAAATTTTCAAATCAAATGTCCATATTATAACAAAAATTAAGTTTTTCTTAAAATTAACAGACAAAAATTATTACATTTAACATATATATCAAAATATAACTGTCCATCCATTGGACAATATTTTTTAAAATTCTTTATTGTTTAAAGTATTACATATGTCTCCTTTTACCCCATTGACCTCTCCCCAGCCATTTCTGCACCCCAGCACATGCCTTCACCCCCCTACTGTCTGTGTCATGGTTATTGTTATATGTATGGATACAAGTCCTTTGAAATCTTATCTGCCCACTCTCCCCACCCTCCCTTGACTTCCTTCTGAGGTTTGAGGACCTGTTCAATGCTTCCATGTCTCTGAAACTATTTTTTTTCCATCAGTTTATGTTGTTCATTATATTTCACAAATGTGTGAGATCATGTGATATTTCTCTTTCTCTGACTGGCTTATTTCATTTAGCATAATGATCTCCTGGTCCACCCATGCTGTTGTAAATGGTAAGAGTTTTTTCTTTTTTACAGCAGCATAGTATTCCATTGTGTAGATGTACCACAGCTTTTTAATCCACTCATCTGCTGATGGGCACTTAGGCTATTTCCAAATCTTAGCTATTATAAATTGTGCTGCTATGAACATAAGGGTTCATATATCCTTTCTGACTGGTGTTTCTGATTTCTTGGGATATATTCCTAGAAGTGGGATTACTGGGTCAAATGGGAGTTCCATTTTAAATTTTTTGAGGAAACTCCATACTGTTTTCCAAAGTGGCTGCACTAGTTTGCATTCCCACCAGCAGTGCAAGAGGGTTCCTTTTTCTCCGCATCCTCTCCAGCACTTGTCGTTTGTTGATTTGTTGATGATAGCGAGTCTGACAGGTGTGAGATGGTACCTCATTGTTGTTTTGATTTGTATGATTAGTGACTTTGAGCATGTTTTCATATGTCTCTTGACCTTCTGTATGTCCATTTTCAAAAAGTATCTATTTAGGTCTTTTGCTCATTTTTTTTATTGGATTGTTTATCTTCCTTTTGTTAAGTTGTATGAGTTCCTATAAATTTTGGAGATTAAGCCCTTATTGGATATGACATTGGCAAAAAATGTTCTCCTATGCAGTGGGCTTTCTTATTGTTTTGTTGATGGTTTCTTTTGCTGTGCACAAGCTTTTTATTTTAATGTAGTCCCATTTGTTTATTTTCTCTTGCCCTAGGAGCTGTATCGGTAAAGATATTGCTATGACATATATCAGACATTTTGCTACCTGTGGATACTCCTAAGATTTTTATGGGTTTTGAGTTTATTTTTGTGTATGGTGTAAGTTGGTGGTCTAGACTCATATATTTTTTTACCTTTATCTCTCCAATTTTCCCAACAACATTTATTGAAGAGACTATCTTGACTCCATTGTATGCTTTTGCCTCCTTTGTCAAATATTAATTGAGCATAATGGCTTGGGTTGATTTCAGGATTCTCTGTTCTGTTGCA